GTGGGTCACATTAGGCTAGCCCAGTTTGACACCGCTATATAAACTTGTGACCTTGTTATCATCAGGCTATATGTAAACTAACCAACCGTCAAGCCTGCTGGATTGAGCCTCAAATCTCAATAGGTGCCTACAAGTCTATTATTATTGAAAGGCACATTCCAGAGAAGGGTCAAGTCCTGAATAGGATAAAAATATATGGGATGGGTGGTCATCCATTCAACGAAAAGTTTATCATGTCGATGTTGAAATTTTCACAGCTCAGTCAGCTCTCGAAACGCCCTGAGACGTGAAATTGCTTTCTTTTAACATACTAGGAGTAGGCATATACGTTGCACGTCTTATGTATCGATAAATGATATAAGCACTATTTTTGAATTAATAACACCTTTTTTTTTAAAATAATAGAGGTAATTGATATTGTTAAAAGGAAAATTACAATTGAGTATATATAAGTTTTTTTGTGAAATTATGTATATAATGTGAAAATGGTGAATAAAGTAAAAATATAATGATATGATTACAATAATATTTCTTTGTACACAATATATATTTTTTAGTGATCAAATGTATCAATTAATAAATTAATGCAACATTTAGCACATTTGTTACTTCATTATTACATTAATGCAACATTTCAATTTTGCAACATCAATTAAATAGTGACTTAATGGATGGATTATAATGCAAATCATGAAGATTAATAAGGGCTTTATTGATGAAAAATAAAAACTCAATGGATGAATTATAATATAAATTATGAAGATCAATATGGGTTTTGTTAATGAAAAATAAAAAATTGCTTTGTTGATGGAAATTAAAAATTGTAAGTACAAAATACTCAATTGAATGGTAAGTAACTAAATTTTCATTGACTTATTTATTTTTTTTATTAATTGAATGTCAGTTTCACTTCTTACATTAATTCCAACCCAAATGATAAATATTAGTTAAATTGGTAATAATGGCTTTGTGATGAAAATAAAAATTGTAAAGAAAAAAAATCGAATGTTAGTCATTGAATTTCCGTATGTAATTTCTATTTTATTCATTGAATGTCCTCATTATTATATTAATGCAACATTTAAAATATTTGTAACCTCAATTGAATAATAACTTAATGAATGAATTATAATGTAAAGTATGAAGATTAAAAATTGCTCTGTTGAAGAAAAATAAAAACTCATTGCATGAATTATAATGTAAATCATGAAGATTAATAGGGGTTTGGTTGATGAAAAATAAAAATTGATTTGTTGGTAGAAAATAAAAATTGTAACAAAATAGTAAATTGAACGGTAAGTCACTAATTCTGTTTTTGTTTTTTTTTATATATAATTGAATGTTAGTTTCACTCCTTATATTAATTCCAATTCAAAACGATAAATATCAATTAAATATTTCACTCCTTATATTATATTAATTCTAAACCAAATGATAAATACTAATTAAATTGGCATTCCAATTATGAGGGTATAGTGAGCATATAGTTAAATATGTAAGGATAAATTTGATATTTAAAAGTTTCTCCACCATCCCCATTTTTAATATATTGTAGACGTAGATTTGTCAACTTTATATAGTGCTATTAATATGTTTGGTTATTTTACCCTCTTAATCCCATTCAATGTTATCCAATGAAGCTTGTTGTTCAATCCAATCCAACAAATGCCGAATACTGTCCAATTCGAGATACAGAACAATCAAGCAAACAACGAATGTTATTAAGTCCGACATATCATTATAACTTCATATAAATTTCTACACAAACATAAACATCTAAAAGTGGTGCAAATTAAACTTACATAAACTTTCCAAATCCTGGAATGGGCGAAAAAGAAAAACATTGAAGAGAATGCACGATAGCTAAGCATCAGAAGGAACTTTTATTGAGTGAAAGTATAGCATTGAGCATAAATTCAATGTGCCAATAGCAAAAAGATAAAGAAACCAGTTCCTGAATTCTGGTTGAAGATACACAACTGAGAAGCTTACTAGATTACTAAAGAGAATGCACGATAGCTAAGCTTAATATACACATTGAAAAGGAATGGAACATTTAGAATAGGAGAATGCACAAACAAAACAGCAGAAAAGAAAGATGGATACTCTGTCAAGAGACTTGTCCAGCTGCATTTCTTGCCTTCTCAACCTCGGATTATTATTTCCTGGAATTGGATACGAATTAGGATAAGGATAAGCAGATAGACTAATGTCTGAGATCCCGAACATCCTGGCAAATGCTAGTTCGCCAACCATATTAAATGTTGGACTGAAATGACTGATCATTGTAGTGCCTCCAATGCTAGATGGCATCATGGAAACATGATTACCAAAAGGGTGCGGGAGATATTTCTGTTCATGAAATGACAACTGTCTCCGTGGCTGAAAAGGATTGCCATCATTACATTGCTGATTTGCAGTGAGCAGTGTATCCAATCCAGCTGCAGGTGGCCTGTGGGGTATGGTCAAATCCAATTGGGGTTTTTTGGCTTTGGATTCGGACAACGATGTACCTCGACCATAGAGGCGAACCTATGACGAGGTAGAGATATAAGCCTTACAAACAGAACATTTTGGTCGCTCATTTGATTCAAATGAGGAGCTCTGAGCCTGGAGCCATTTATAAATACAAGGCCAGCAGTATAAATGGCCACAAAGGGTGACCTCAGCTCTTGACCTGAGTCTGAACAAATGCTGCAATCGAAGCATCCATTTACATTTTCAGAAGCAGATGATACCGAGTTCCATTTTCGTTTGAAGCTAGCATCCCCTCGGATCCCAAATCGCATGGTAGGAATGCTAAACTTCTGCTGAAAAGACATTGACCTGAGTCTGAACAAATGCTGCAATCGAAGCATCCATTTACATTTTCAGAAGCAGATGATACCGAGTTCCATTTTCGTTTGAAGCTAGCATCCCCTCGGATCCCAAATCGCATGGTAGGAATGCTAAACTTCTGCTGAAAAGACGTGATTTAATTGGCTAAAAAGACAGCAAAGAACTTAAGTATTAGGTCAAAAATCAAAAGCAGAACATACGGCTTTCCTAGCAGATTAATATACGCTAAGAAACAAATGATACTTGCATTATTGGTGAAAACGTGGCCTGTCCAAATATGGTGGGTGTGAGATAACCACAGGTACACATGCAATTTTAAGATTAGAAGGAAGAAACAAGCACCCTCCAAAAGTTATAAATACTATAAACAATAGAGCATTATCACATAGATTTCATCATCAGCCAACAAACTGAGACCAAAGATACATTGCGGAAAAGGGTAAAGTTGTTTCAATTTTCCAGGTTTGCTCAACAAAATAAAATATTGCAAAGGTATTCTACCGGGTTAAATAAGAAAGAATATTCAAAATTTAATGGTGCCTAACCTCTCCTTTATCATCCTGAATAAATGGAGGAATGAAAAAGGGTGATCAATCAACTTGCATAAATAGATCCACATTCTGACCTCTCTACTTCGGAAGGCAAGAATTGCCACGATTTTCAAAATTCTAATGCCTTCTAATTTTATTTACAGAGAAACCTACAATTAGAATAATACGATCTGATATCATTATAGAAATATGTTAGTCGGTTGTTTATACAGTTGCAGATCCAATTTCAGAATCAAAAGTTTGTTTAAGAAACAGTACTGCAATTTACAGAGGTACATATCTTGATTGTTACACAGTAAATATGGAAGAAATTTGTGTTAAGATAAAAATAAATAAATCTCTTCAGTCGAAATTTTGTTCCAAATTCTAGAACTCACGCAAAGAACCGATGCAGCATTGTGGATATAGCATGCGAATACTC